TAATTGGGCCTAATTCCAAGATCCATTATCAAAACTTGGCCCAAAACATCATATTCATAAAGTCCAGCAAAGGCCCAATTCCAACTAGTCCATAAATAGCCCAAAACCTGAAGCCCAAATGTCAAAACCCAACAGAGGACGTATGTGGGGCGTACTCCTCTGGTACGTTGGGCGTACTCGCTCTGATGTTGACCACCATCGGGGTGGTTGACCCAGTACGCTGGGTGTACTGGATTTACGCGGGGCGTACGCGAGCTGTTCTTAAAATTCTAATAAGTGCTTAATGGCTTAAGCACTTAAGCCCAAATTTCAGATCCTTCGACCAAATGTGCCTTAGAACCATAAAGTCTTGAACTTTATCACTTTGAACGTCCAAAAAGCTCTTAGTACTTGGTCTTAATCCATTAAGACCTTCCTACTCCATGCATGGGACATCTTAAGCGATTGGGACCTCATTTTTATCACTCAAAACTCCTTCAAGAGTCTAGAAGGACAGTTCATTTCGTCCAAATCACATCATGCACCATCTTGGGACTTTTTGGGACAAGAAATGGTTCTTTAAAGCAAAATGGCAAGATCTATACATATATGCATAAAGTTTGAAGCTTATTTTTACCTTCTGAAGCTTCTAGGGCACAAAACAACTTCAGATCTACAAGCTTGATCTTCTTCTCCAATTCCTTGATGCAACACCTTCTGCTTAAAACACTCAAGAAACACTCAATAAGCTCACACACTCAAGAAAATGGCTAGGGTTTGGGGAAAATGATTCTAAGCAGTGGAGGCTGAGGTAAGGGAGGGTTTGGTGCTCAAAATGTTGCTTATATAGTCTCCAAACCCTAAATATTAGGGTTTCCTTCTGACATAAGTACGCCCAGCGTACTAGGGCGCGCCTAGTATGCTCAGTGTACCCTTATGTACGCGCAACGTACTCCTCCTAGTCCCAAAATTGAAACTTAGCCCTTAGGCTTCTCATGGTTTCACCCTTCCATCCCCAGGGACTATAAATGACAAAAATTGGGATGTTACACAAACGGATTAAAACCATTAGCAGCAAGTCGTAAGTGTATGTTTCGAGGTTCCCTCGAGAAGTTAGGATACTTCATATCAAAATTTTTCCATGAAGTACCATCAACGGGATGAAGCAGCGTACCATATTTGGATCGTCTCATACTGTGCCAAATCATATCTTTAGTTGTGTGTCTAGAACAATACAAACGTTGTAGTCTAGGGGTCACGGGAAAGTATCCTATTACCTTATGAGCCACCTTCTTACCCTTTGTATTTTCATCAATCCATCGACTCTCATTACAAATTAGACACTTTTGCAACAACTTGTGTTCTTTCCAGAAAAGAAAGTAGTCGTTTTTACATACGTGTATCGACTCATAACCCAAGCCAATATTTTTGAGTGTCTTTTTTTGCTTCATAATGTGACGGGGGGACCCTATTTCCTTGAGGAAATGCAGTTTGCAACAACTTAAAACGAACATACAGGATATAATTTTAATTGGACTTCCTCTAACAGCTTTTGAAATCCATCATCGACACCGCTACCATCTATATTCGGGTTCCCTTCGTCGCGGTTGGTATCATTTTCAATCACACCCCCATAACATCAGCAATAACATCGGCCATCTCGTTACTACGCGATATGTCTTCGAAACCGGATGAACTATATTTTTGTCGTGATACTTCATTATAATATAATGTGGACTAAAACCATGTTGAAGTATATGGAATTTCATTATGGCTAGTAGTATAAATTTATTGACATTACATTTGTTACACGGGCATTTGATTTGATCTTTCTTATCGACGTGTGGTTTGGACCTCTCTAGAAGAGATTCGAGTTCTTGTTGGAACAAGGTAGAGGTACGGTTTTCAATATTAGTCCAGGTTTTATCAATAGACATGTTGCAACTGAAACATAAGTTAGGTTTTAGTGTTTACTCTACAAGAACTTAAATTAGGATCAAATATTTATAAGGATAGAGTAACCGCTCAATCAGATGGAATAGAAAACCAGACAACAGAAGAGTATTCACAATGGTAGGCTTCTAAACCCACTTTTTGAATATCTTACATCATATGCAAATGTGTATTACATGATTGACCGTTTAAGAAATATTCGACAACATTTCCCCTTAGCTCCTAAGTATATATAAAATTATATACCCGAGGAGCAAAGAGAATATAACAACCGAATATTTTTTAAACAATCAATCATGTAATACACATTCACATCCTAAATAAGGTAAGGTATTCAAAAAGGAGTCCCAAAACAGGGACAACCCGAAATTAATTTCTAAATCAATTTCGGGCGGGTATTTCTATGCTTTCGATGATTTAAAAAGAAGAGACTTAAACTAAAAAACTTACTTTTTTTATTATAGCATTGTACTTTAAATAGTTCACTTATTAAGTTATAACTTAGTAGATTTAGCATATTAATTTTTCATTTTTATTTTTTATTATAGCATTATACTTTAAACGATAGTATAAATTTGATATTTATATCATTTTGTTTTTCTATATTTTGATTTTTAATATCAACTTATTTTGTTTTTATTTTTCTATTATGACTAAATTATAACTTAGTAGATTTAGCGTCTTAATTTTTTATTTTTATATATTTTATAGCATTGTACTTTAAACGATAGTATATATTTGTTATTTATATCATCTTTTTTTTTTCCATATTTGATTTTTAATATCAACTTATTTTTGTTTTTATTTTTCCTATTATGACTAAATTATAACTTAGTAGATTTAATGTCTTAATTTTCATTTTTATTTTTTATTATAGCAATTTACTTTAAACCATAGTATATATTTGTTATTTATATCATCTTTTTTTTCCATATTTTAAATTTTAATATCAACTTATTTTTGTTTTTATTTTTCTATTATGACCAAATTATAACTTAGTAGATTTAGCATCTTAATCATTTTTATTTTTTATTAAAGCATTGTACTTTAAAGGATGTTATATATTTGTTATTTATATCATTTTTTTTCCATATTTTGATTTTTAATATCAACTTATTTTTGTTTTTATTTTTCTATTATAACATTATACCTTTTCCTATTTATTTTTATTTATATTATCTTAATTATTTTGTTTTTTTATTATATTATAATACTTTAAAAAGACATTGTAAATTATAACATACTTTTTTTTTTCAATTATAACATCCTATCATAACATACATTATACACACATATACATACAATATACACATATTCTATCATAACATACAATATACACACATACAAATGCACTTATACATATTTTTTCACATATGTTTTTTCATACATACAAATACATCTCATATAGAAATACATATATATATTTCACATACAAACACCTACATTTTCACATAAAAATGCCTACATTTTTCTATTATAACATCATACATTTTTTCATATATATATATATATATATATATATATATATATATATATATATATATATATATACACACACATATACATACATTTCACATAGAAGTACACTTATACACACATTTTCACATACACTTTTTCATACATACACATACAAATACATGTTTTCATACATATTCAAACATACACATTTGCATATACATTTTTACATACATTTCATATAGATTTCACATACCCAAATATACACATTTCAGATACCAAAATATATACATTTCACATACATTTCATATACATTAAGAACAGAAAAAAGAAAAAAGAACATGTTGTTGCCGGAAAATGAGACGTGTCGCCGGAAAATACGACCAGTCGTCGGAAATTGAAGCTAGTGGTGACAACAGTGGTGCTGTGATGGTGGTATCACCAGAGAGTACCTTAAAAGCACCAAAATAAAGAAATTAGGGTTAAATATTGGTAAGAAAACAAGAGAAAGAGAGAAGGGAAGAGAAAACGCACGTTACCGGAGGATTATTATCGCCGAAAAAACTCAGAATTCGCCGGAAATCGTCGGAAAACGCCGGAAATCATCGAAAAATGAAGGCCTAGAAGCAATCTATGGTAAGTGGTGGTTTGTGATGGTGTACTACGCCGAAAATCGCACCAGAGAACGTTGATCGTTTTACGAGAAGGAGGAGACAACGTAGGGACTGGGTCGTCTAGGACGAAGGGGGGTCAAAAGGGTGTTACCTTTAGTGGCGACACCGAGGCAATAGCGGCGACAAGTTGGAGGGAAAAACACGCGCCATTCTGTCGTGATTATTAGCCGTACGATCCAAAAATAATTGAACGATCACGATGACACTCACGCTGATCGCCATCAATAGCATCGACATTTCGTCACATTGGTGTCGCCGCTATTACCTCCCACGAGATGAAACCCTAACCGATAGATCAGTATAGCAGCGTACGTCACGATCAAATGGCATGTGGCACAAGAGGATCGCCGGTGGAAGCCCTTTAGTGACGACAATAACCTTTAGCGGCGACATTATCTGATGTCGCCGCTAAAGGCTAACGTCGTCGCTATAGAAGTCGTCGCTAAAGGGATTATTTCTTGTAGTGTAACTTTTTAATTTAATATGAAATGTCTGTGTTTTAGAAAATAAAATTTATTTCATATTAATTGTTTTTTGTTTAAAAAAATAAAATTTATTTAATATTAATTGTTTGTGTTTTAAAAAAATATAATTTAATTAATTTTGAAAAAGGAAAAAAAAATAAAGTGTTAGGATTATTACCACTCCTATAAAATGCTAAGATTTAGGTGATAAAAAAAATTGATGTTGAACATAAAAAAAATATGACAAAGCGCTAACTGTTAGTAGTTCTTCTAACCTATATAAATTTCATTTAAATCAACCAAAAATGAGATTTGTGGATTGTGGGGTTCAATTAACACGTCAAACGTTCAATTCCAACTTTGATATCGAAATTTATTTTTATCTGATGATACATTAACCAAGCGACAACATATTTACCGAAATAACTCATAATCATAGTTTTTTATTTTTCGAGAAAATGAAAAGTTATTTTTATCAATCCTCATGCTCGATTTTAATCCCTTTAATGGAAACTTCACCACCTTTGTTTTTCGGCACCAATGTCACCAACACGTTGTCATCATCTTCAGCTCCCAAATCCTCCAAAAGCTCACTTATTCCTAACCTCAATCTTGTCTTCACATTCTTCCCATGCTTATGCTTATGAGGGACATTAACAAAACTTCCGGCGAACTCCGTCTTATCAGCCGTGGCCCTCATCCCGTCATCTTCATCGTTCACAAACACATCAAACTTCGCAAACTCATCTCTCTTCACTTCAATTCCTTCTATCACCAAAATTTCTTCTTCATCCTCTTTCTGTTTCTTGGTCCTGGATTTCTTCGGCCTTGGAACCAGCACTTTTATCACCTTATCAAGACTCGCCGGAAAAACATCTTTTGCAAAGGGTATGTGTTCATCGGCTCGAGCTACAGCGAGCTTCTTGATCTTGCTCAAAGCCCTTTTCAGACGTGGTTCGGGTTTGCTTTTTAGCCATGGTATATCTACATCTTGATAAATGTACCCAAGCTTCTTGGAATCGAGACAATCCCTCACCTTGACTCGAACCATTTCAGCGTTCTCATCGTAGAACAAGAATGAAGAATCAAGCCAGTCTTTATCTGTAAAATCATTCCTTCTTCCTCCTAGAGTTTTCCAAACTGACCACATTCTGTCGATATTCGCATGATGTGCATAGAAAATAGGGTCTCTGGCTGCAGAATAAAAGTTACCCATGTCTTCACCATTTTGTTGGTTCCTATCTCCGGTCCAGATATGAACCGGGCCATGTGGTATGCCCTCGAGCGAGCCAGCGCCAGGGCTAGCCTCATCACCTGCACGATAAGGACTACCCATGAAAAGACTAGCAGTCTTGGAGCTAGACACCATTTGTCGATACATAATTGTGAGATTTGTGGAGGTTTGTTTCGATCGGCTAAGATTTTCATCGTCACCATTGTAGTCAAGATCAATCAAAGACGGTGGTTGATGCTTCGCATCACGAAGAGCATCGTACAACGGAGATTTCTTATTCGTGTATATATCAGGGATCTTCATGCCATCAGGTGCATCCCAGTTCCAAAAAGGGATTGCGAAATTTGGATCATTGATTAATTTGCCGCAAATTTTCTCGAAGAAGTATAAGTAATAGCGGTGGAAAGGTAAGAACAACCATGAGGCATGGACTTGAAGCTCGAGATCAGGGAAACCGGCTTGATCGTATGCCCCATCGCAATACGCACAATGAACAGCAGCTTGTTGCTTGAAACTACGAGGATCGTCATCTGGGAGAGCTTTCATGAGCTCGATGGCTTTATTGAACTTGGCTATGTAATCTTTATTAGCCAAATGAGCAGCTGGACGGACTCGGAAGGTGTTTGACGGTGGTGGAAGTTTGAAATCGAGAATCTTTGTGGTGTATGGAGGGCAACAGTTTGTAGGTACAGCTCCTTGGGGTAAGTCAGCCGGACCACATTTTGTGAGGTCCGGTGCCATAATCGGAGCTGCATACGCCAATGAGTTTGACCCAAAAGTGGCGGCGGCGCCGTAAAGACCTCCGAGACCTAATAAGACGTTTCTCCTATCAAATTTGCCGGAGTTTTCATGGTGATGGTCATCATCATCTAGGGCGCCTTTGCATGAAACTGCATGGCGATGGTTCGTGATTCGTGCTATGGGAACTTGAGATGATTTGAAAGAGAAGGAAGAAGCGTACGTGGAGGAGGAGGAGAAGCACCGTCCACCGGTGGTGGTGGTGGTTGGTGATGGTGCAAGAGATGCCATAGTCTTATTTTGAGCGTACAGATATTGTTAAGAGTTGTATGTTTATATAATGCCTTGGTCCTAGACCTTTTCAAAGGCAGCGCGCTAGATCTGCGTATTTATCAAAGTTGACAACCATAAACAAGTACTACAATCACATGGAAAGAAGTAATTTATATACATATTTTAATTTTAATTAAAAAGTTTTAATAAGAACTGGAATAGAATATGGCAATTAATCATAAAATTTTACGAAAACCTCATAAAAGTAATTAAATATATTATTTCTTTTATTTAAAGGATATTTTCGATTTATTGGATTAAAGCGGTATTTTTTCTTTTCCTTTTTTTTTTGATTGTGCTAGTTTTAGATTTCTTCATTTTCTCTATATATTTCTAGATTAAAGGATTTATCCGATGTTATTTCCATATTTTATTTATTTATTTATGAAAGCATATTAAAGCAAGAGACAAAACTCGGTTTTAACCGAAATTGCTTTTTTTTTTTTTTTTCTTAAAGTAGTTCAGGTGGAGTTGAATTTTTGTTTTTTAGTTTTCGGGTGTCTGGATTTGATTTCCTAATGTAATTTAGATAACCGGTATAATATGATTCGAATTCGGATTATCGGGCTTTTAAAAAACCAGTTTTGATTGAACCTATATAAATATCCAACCAAAAGAATATTGTATAATATTTGGTTCTAAAATATAAACATAATAAGATAAAAGGTTGTTTTTTTCCGAACATGTTAAAAAACTAGTTACCCAATTGCAAGAAAGCTAGTTACAAACTCTTGGATAACATAAAACCTATTCTGTTTTAAAATTTGATTATATAAGATATCGGTTCGGTTTCTTTTTAGATTTTTAAAAAACCTTGTCAGGTTTGTGTACCTAGTAAAGAGTTAACAAAGAAATAATATCAATATTGTTAGTAATGATGATAAAATAACTTGTTATTTGAAAATGTTATATTTTTAATATTACCATGCTTAAAAAATAAATAAATTAAGAAAGTTAGTGATGAGTTGGTAGATGACCAATTTTATTAGCTAAGGACCAATTATGTTTTAAGACTATGTTTATCATATGTTTATAGCAACCCATCACAACACAATCTTATATTAATTATTAATATATTTTCCTTCTTGTCCATCTATACAACCAATACTAACAACCAATCTTAACATTTTTACCATTTATCAACGATCTAAAACAATAAAAATAATATTTTATATGAGAGTTTAAAATATACATAAAAATATATCAATATTATATTTTATTAGTAGATAATTAAAAACCATAAATTTTAATATAATTTTTATAATTTTTTTTACACATATATTATTTAATAAACAATTATTAATATTAATATCTATATCTACATCTATATTATCATATCATACTATATTATAAAGGAAACATTTTTCCTTTCACCACATCGATTTGAAACTTTCAACTCTTCATATTTCCACATAATATACTTAATATATTAACTTAAATATGTTTATAACTATAAACATTGTCATAAATGAAAGTTTTCTTGAATTATCAATATGATATACTTAATTTGTTGACTTCAATATAATGTTAAATACATAATATATATTAATATATAAAATAAACATCAAATATAGTGTAAAATTTAAAACGTAAAGTAAAATATCAAATAAAGTTTAAAAAAAATCAATGTATATTTTGTAAAATAATTAAAAGAAAAATAGTAAATACGATAAATGTCAAATAAGCTAAATCTAAAAGTCGAATTAACTAAAACATGTCCAAAAATTATTTTTCATAATAAATAAAATTCAATTAAGTTGTTTTCAATTTAATAATAACAATAATAATATAATAATAACAACAACAACAACAACAACAACAACAACAATAATAATAATAATAATAATAATCATAGATAGATAGAATAACATAAAGTTATAAATTATATTATATTATATTATAAACAATGGTTGATAGTTTAAATAATAATCATTATAAAATTAAAAGATCATCAAAAAAATTTGATTAATCATAACAGTAGTTAATTAAAATAGTTGAGAAATAATTAATTTTATACACACATAAAGTTTCAATAGGGATCATTAAATTATTTGATTTTAATAAGTGTTATTTTATCTATTGTTCAAATTAATTATAATAATACATCAATTAAATGTAATAATTGTTATCTTATAACTAATATAAGTAACATAAATATATTCAATATCATATAATTACCAAAAGTTTAACTTCATAATTTTATTCCGCGCAACGCGCGAATATTCGTATATTATACTTATAATGGAGACATTTTTACTTGCACCACATTCATTTGAAACCTCCACGACTTTTCAATTTCTTTCTAATAATTATTATAAATTGGTTAATAATTTTAAATTAATGTAAAAACTAATTCTAATCATAAATTAAGTAAACTACAATATTGAAGTATCATATTTTACTTATATTTATAAAATTATGACTTTAACTTTTCAACATATTATAGTTAACTTATTAGTTTAGGTATGTTGTCGTATATGAGCAATTGTCATTTTAAAATCACAACTTTTGTATAATCTATGATTTTATGCAAAATTGTTAAATTATTCAATATAATGTTAAATGTTTAACTTAAATCAAAATTTCAGTTAAACTTGAAAAAAATAGGGAGACTATTTTATAAACAGTTAAAAGTTATAAATGATGGTGTAAAACCTATATTGTATTCATAAATTAACAAAAAAACCATGAAACTATTTTTTATAATCAATAAGAATTTTCAAATAAGTAGTTTAAAAATAACATATAATAAGAATAGTTAAAAGCAAGATTGTATAAAAAATTATAATGTTATCTTTAAAAACAAAAAAATGTTTGTTGTTTTAAATAATTGCAATCAAAGAAACTAATGATATTTATCAAATAAATTTTAAAAAAGTTAAATCTCTGAAACCAAATTAAAAAAATTAAGAGTTTACAAATACGTTATTTTAAATAACTTACAACAACAATGGTTAAAAGTAACATTATATAAAAAATTATATTGTTAACTTTAAAAACAAAAACAATGTTTGATGTTTTAAATAATTATAGTGATAGAAATTAAAATCTTAAGCAAATAAACTTTTTAAAATTAATTCATTATAACAACAAATATAAATATGATTAAACCATATATTATATTTAATTCTATTTATGAGTAACTCGCAGGTAGAGACCATTGAGACAATTGAGATTATGGAATTTTTAAAGATGTCTATATTATCATATAATTCAAAACAAATAATATTTACGCCAACTTATTATAAGTTTAAATTTATAAGAACTAACAATAACGTCATTGATATATTTAAAAAACATATATTTGTAAAGATTTCAGATATATTGTTGTATTCTGCGCAACGTGTGGGTATTCGCCTAATATATATATATATATATATATATATATATATATATATATATATATATATATATATATATATATATAAAGGAAGCATTTTTACTCAAACCATATTCATTTGAAACCTCCTATTTGAATGAAAAACACTCAAAAGTCTCTTAATAATGATTAACCATTCAAAGGTTTTATAACTTATATAATATGTTAAATAAACACTTTATTGATAGTCTACTATAAAAGACCAAACTCTTTGAGTAGACACACAAATACCAATCACATACAATTTTCAAAAAGAAAACAAGTCTAAAGGTTTTTGTGTTGGTTTGAGTGCTTTGGTCCATTTTTCGAGCCATGTTATTATGTTAAAGTTTTTAATTTGTAAGTTCGTTATATACCATATTTTTTTTGGTTTAAGTACTCTTTTAAGACAATCATTATATGTTGTGGTTGAAAGTTTAATGTAAATTAGATTAGATTCATGTTATCGATCATATGTTATGGAATGTGATATTTAGATAATAATTAATTAAATATTTTATATATGTTTGTATGTTTGTGTTGCTTCAAAGCAATAATTAATTAAAAATCATGGATATGTCATATTATCCATAAAGTCTCTTTTAAAATGCAAATTGTTTACCTTATCACTTTATATTTTAGTATATGTTTAACATTTTAAGTATAATAATAAGTGCTTTTTAAAAGTTTTCTTTCACTTATTAATAATATTAAGTGGTTTTAAAATTAACGAACAATAGTTATAAGTAATAAAAGCAAATTATAAAAATCATAGATATGTCATATTATCCATGTAAGTCTCTTTTGAAATGCAAATTGTCAATCTTATCATTTTATTATTTAGTATATGTTTCATATTTGAATAATAATATTAAGTGTTTCTTTAAAGTCTTCCTTAACTTATTATTAATAATAAGTGGTTTAAAATTAATGAACAATAATTTTAAATAATAATAACATCAAATTATAAATTAAATAACGTTAGCTACAAATAAATTGTATTTTAAATGAGCATCATTAATAAAATTACAAAATAATTGCATAAGTAAAAAATTTAAATTAATCAATCATAACAATTGTTAAAAATAATACTAAATAGATAATTATATTTGATTTTATTAACGAGGAAGGTTGGTTGATGTCAATGAATATCATTGTTCAAAATAGTTTTGATTATATATATATATATATATATATATATATATATATATATATATATATTAGTGTAAAAATATTATGTCAAAGTTAATGTCAATAATATAACCATTAAAAACATATATTTTTCAATATTCTAACAATATATTTTTAACCTACACCGCGCAACGCACGAGAATTCGTTTAGTCATCATATCATATCATATCATACTATATTATAAAGGAATCATTTTTCCTTTCACCACATTCATTTGAAACTCCTATGTATTTTTCCTTTCACCACATTCATTTGAAACTCTCATGACTTTTTAATTTCTTTCTAATAATAATTATAAGTTGGTTAATAAGGTTAAATAAATATCAAACCTAAAGTGTAATCACATATAAACTAAATTTCAATATTAAAATAATATATTTACTTCTACTTATTAAGTGATTTTTTTTA